AGTCCTTCACAAAACATGGAATTTCTAGATACATGTTAAGACTACTACAAACTATCAGTGGTGTATTTAGGATTTGTGCTGCCCTAGGCAAAACAAAAATTGCCGCCCCCCCCCCCCCCCCCCCCCAGCGGAGAGAGCCTGACATTGACCAACAACTCCCTTGCCCCACCCAGAGAGAAAGTCACTCACCTCTACAGCTCCAGACATCCATGGGAGTGAGAGTCGGGACTCTGCATACACCATCAAGCAGTCCGCAGCCTCTCTCGGTTCCCACCTGGTCCCCACACCGCAAGTGTCCATTCTTCAAAGAGGTAGTGCTGCCCCCCTGAAAAATACCGCCCTAGGCTACTGCCTTGTTTGCCTTGTGGTAAATACGCCCCTGCACACTATATTGATATTATTTCAATCACACACTATATTGCCAAAAGTATTGGACGCCTGCCTTTACACATGAACTTTAATGGCATCCCCGTCTTAGTCCATTGGGTTCAATATTGAGTTGGCCCACCCTTTGCAGCTATAACAGCTTCAACTCTTCTGGGAAGGCTGTCCACAAAGTTTAGGAGTGTGTCTATGGGAGTGGTTGACCATTTTTCCTGAAGCGCATTTGTGAGGTCAGGTACTGATGTCGGACAAGAAGGCCTGGCTCGCAGTTTCTGCTCTAATTCATTCCAAAGGTGTTCTATTGGGTTGAGGTCAGGACTCTGTGCAGGCCAGTCAAGTTCTTCCACCCCAAACTCGCTCATCCATATCTTTATAGACCTTGCTTTGTACACTGGTGTACTGGTGTGTGCAGTCATGCTTTAAGAGGAAGTGGCTATCCCTAAACTGTTCCCACAAAGCTCAGAACATGAATTTGTCCAAAATTTTTTGGTATGCTGATGCCTTCAGTTCCCTTCACTAAAACAAAGGGGCCAAGCCCAACCCCTGAAAAACAACCCCACACCATAATCCCCCCTGCAGACCAGTCAAGTTCCCCCACCTCAAACTGGACCACATGAAGTTTGGAGGACTTTGGCTATTGACTCTGCAGACAGATTTCTGCCCACTGTGTGCTTCAGCATGTACTCTGTCATTGTATGTGGCCTGTTTGTTCGAGTTGCTGTTGTTCCCAGTTATTTACAACTAACAGTCAGTGCAATATTTAGTAGCAAGGAAATTTCACGGATGCGCAGTTGGCAACCTATCATGATACCACGCTTGAATTCACTGAGCTCCTGAGAGACCTATCCTTTCACAAATGTTTGTAGAAGCAGTCTGCATGCCTAGGTGCTCGATTTTATACATCTGTGGCCATGGAGGTGATTGGAACACCTGAAACCAATGAATTGGAGGGGTGTACCAATACTTTTGGCAATATAGTGTATCTTCTTTTGGAGTGCACGAGACGTGCCACACCTTATGGTTACTCTAGTGCATTCTCATACGTGAAGTATCATTCCCTGCAAGGTCTCAGTTATTCATAGTTTCCACCTCCTTTTATTCCAAATTTTTCTACCACACAACCTGTCTGAGTGTGTATCTGTGTTGAAGCCTGCATTCCATTATCCTCAAGTCCCCCTTCCCATTTTTCCTGTAAACCAACCCCCCCCCACCCCCTTTTTTTTCTTCTCTTTATTTTCTGATATTTCTGTTTAAAATGCAATCCATTGCCAGCTATACCCTTTCCTCTCTTTCCTCCTTTCCAAAGAAATGTAGTCCATGGCTGCAAATGCAAATGACCGCAATGTTAGGTGCACTGCTCAAGCAGAAGTTTGTCTTTCAAGGATTGTGACATAAAGCAGATTATGAGAAGGAAATTTCACTTTAAAAAAACCATGAGGTGGGTTATATTTTTAGTGACTTGCACTTTTTTTTAAGCAAGGGTTCAGTGATCCTTTAAAATTAGTCCTGAAGCAAGCAAAGCATAATGCACAGTAAAAATGGACAGTACTGTGCTTTATAACTGAGTTTCTATGTCTATAGTTTGGCCATTGGCTTTGGCCTGTGTTTAAAGCTGGTCATACATTGTATGAATTTCGCTTGGTGGGTGGCTCTGCCAGTTCCACTACATTCAACTAAAGTGTATAAATCTATCGAATTTTGACAAAGTAGCTTGCTGGAAATGTTTTGGGCTGAATAGCCACTGCATCCAATCAGATGAATCTGCCTTAGGTAAGGTGAATACTAACATTTTATCCCTGACACTGGGCTAATGAGTATTCACCTAACGCCCCTCTAAAGCACAGTCCGTGCCTATGTGAATTTTCCGTCAAATTGTTGAGGCATTCTGGTCTAGACATGGGGTGAAACTGATTGAGCTTTTATTTTTATCGGGTGCTTTCCACTCACTTTTGGATTTTCAGCATGCTTTTAATTTTCCCCTTTACAACTTTTTTGGGCTATTTACAACTGCAACATACTACAGCGGCACAATTCGGTTTAACTTATGCGTCTCAAAAGTCATCTTCTTTGGAGCACTTATTTTGTTTGGGTAGGCTGTCTTCTCCTGTCTGTTCTAAATGTTCTTCAGTGGATTGGCATGGATGCCCTCCCAGAACTGGACAGCCGCGTTGTATCCATCTTTCGGCTATAGCGCAGTTGGGAAGCGGTTAAACTGCGTCAACACTGACAGCTGAAAGTTGGCCTGGGTAGGGAGGAGGTGAAAGTGCCCGGTATTGAAGTGGTTAAGGCTCTCTTCTGTTAAAATGTGAACATCAGGATGTAGATTTGTATCATGCATTTTCTGACTGTCCCTAGACCAAGCAATTTTGAATGCAGTGATATGATGTACCTCTCTTCACCTAGTTATCTACTTAACTTGTAGTCTGGAGTGATCTGTATTGTTGACAGGGCTGGTTCTCCAATTTCCAGGAGCTATGAGCAACTTATCACAACTGTTTCCTTTACAGCCAAAAAGATTATTTTGCTTAAGTGAATATATACCCTGACAGTTATTCTTTTTCTTTATTTACAGAAAAGTTTTTGCATGGAGTGGGTGAAGGCCCCACTGAACAAAGATATCCAGGTCCAAAAAATCATTGAAGTATGTGAATCATATCATATATGTAGCGGTACCCCCTAAGGAACCACTGGATTTTGGGTCCCTTTTTTTCTGCACAGCCAGGCAACTCGTATTTTCAGCAGACACTCAGTCAGGAAAGCAGTCCTTGGGCTTGATTTAATGTTTTAATGGGAGAATATCAACTTGGATGGGGATAAGTGATTATGGGATGCCCAATCTGAGTTCAACAACAACATGGAGGACAACTTTTCTATGTACAATTTACAGCAAAAATGGATCCTAGACTGTACTCCCTCCGCAATAATGTCAGTCCTTAATGGATCTGTAGCAAATAGTAAACATGCTTTTAGAAGCTCTGTGTCCCCTTAGTAGAAATAGCAAAGTCCTAACTGTATGCAGGAGCTCTACATCCTCGTAGTAGAAAATACTAGAGCACCTGGCTTCAGATGAGAATCCCCCCAAGGGTGTAGGATAACAGTATGCTGTCCCTCTGAAAGCTAGCTGAATATTGCACTCAGCTGCAATCTCCCTTGTACGCTTTGGGGGGTGTAAAGTGTAGAAGAAATTTAAGGACCACTGTGGCTGCACTGTCTTCTTGACACAACATTTCAGACTGTGTTTCCAGGGCAAATTACTTTCAACAGACTGGCAAAGCACTTCCAATACTGATCTCAGCACTGGCACATTATCACAAGATTATCCCAAGCAGGAGTGAAGGTTGTCAGAAGCTGTCCCTCACGGATGGCTAACTGAGTATTGCACCTGGCAGTTCCCCCCTATAGGCTTTGGGTGGTGAAAGTAGAGGTACTCATACTGTCCCTTGAAATCCTGCTGCTTGGAAAAGACTGCTGTTCAGGCCTCCTGCTGAATAGGTCCTCCCTTGCAATACAGGGTGTCTCCTGGATGAGACTGAATGGTGGTGAAGATCCCTCTGATTAAACTGCTCCTGTTCTTCCTTCCTCAGCTCCTGCCTGGAGGCAAAGGCCCCAGCCCTGGGGTCCAGTTTAGGCCTTGCGAACCTCGACTCTTCAATATTTATGGGCAGATCCTACCCCCATGCCAGGCCTCCTTCCTGGGGATTGGTTGAACTCCCATTAATATTCATATTCCTGCCCCTGTACCTCCACCCACTGGCTCCTAGACGTTTCTGGAAACTTCCAGAACCAGGGGGAGGTTACTGAGGCCTGACCTGCAGAGCCCCACAGCCCGACCCAAACTTGAACCCCACAGACATGCTCACTTTAACTACTTGTGAACCAAATTAAATTTACCTAACTATGCACACTAGAGGGTGCTACATATACAACCTCTGTAAGCTGATAGTGAACAGCTGATAGACAAATGCTTTCACCCAATAGTATTAAACCAGACTATTTGCTAATGATCCCCCAATAATGTATAATTTCCTGAGCTGAATATGCATATCAATTGTTCTATTTGAAACCTCTCCCCACCCCGGAACATTAATTAAGTAGCTGACCATCACCTTTTATTCTATCATTAGTTTTTGTTGGGCTAGCCATTTAACAAATGTACTGTTTATTTGATTAATTGAAGGAGCATGTCATTTTTTTAAGTTGCAATGTGACTGTAATCTCAAGATATTATAGACCAACTGTAATGGCCCTTCTGCATATTCTTGCTCCATGACTGCTGAATTGTGTCATCTTTCTTGCCCAAATGTTTTAGCCTTACGATTGTCAATTGCATTCTCACTTATTAATTACAGTAATGACAAAAAATAAATAAAGAAAAGCTTTATGTGTGTCACTGCAATAACACAGCAAGATTTCCTGACCAGGATATCTCAGTGAATCCATTACCGCATATTTGTTAACCTTCAGCTGTCTAGCTGAACAGGTGTGAGGCCACAATAGTCCAGTTATGTCCTTCATTAGTGGAATGGAAGACACAGGGAACGCCCCCCCCTTACAGGAACCCTACAGACTCGTAACCAGAGAGTGGGAGCCAAGAGAGCTGCGAAGAAATGGATTTCGCTGTCATACATTTTATTCTTCTTATCACAGGTACTGAACTGACTGCGCTCTTTACATTCGCAAGGATGCCAGTTTCGGAGTGATTAAATATATTAATATTGCAATTAACTTTTACATTAGAAATGTATGCATGTTTTTCATATAGTCAGTAGAAGTCTGTCTAATAATACACTTGTTTTTGCCTGTCTACTTGATCAGTACATATAGTTGCACACATATGTAAAGCTCAAAACCTAACCTATGTCATGTCAGTAATTTTATTGTTTTAAGTAACTTTCAATTTGCTATAGCGTTACTGTATTTTTGCACTTTACGTGCACCTATGTTTGGTTTTAGCTAAAGTATGTTCAGAAAAATCATTTGTTTATCACCTTTCAAGTATTATAAAATGTATGTTTGAAAGAAAACTGTCCTTGTTGGCCACAATCATCTGATACCCTGCATTGTCCCTGTGCAGTATGAAAAGAATAAATATGATTCTGACTTTCTATGGACAACAAAACCTGTACTTCTATCAGACAGCTCACATACTGTAGTATTATCAATGGTCTATCCTCATGAATGTAGTTGTTTTATTTTTGAGGAGATCTTTATTTCCAGAGGTGCTCTGTCTTCATTGACAACAATGCATTCCATTGTGGAATAATCCAGAAACATAGGTTGCCTAAGTGGGAGGAGCGAACACTTACATTCTGTAAACAAATTGTCTGCAAAAGAGGGGGTCTGTATTTGTATGAATATTATTGAGAGCGAGCACTTACATTCTGTAAACAAATTGTCTGCAAAAGAAGGGGTCTGTATTTGAATGAATATTATTGAAATGTCCATCAGCAGAAGAAAATAGACTTCAAGAATAACCAGAGAATGTAGCATAAGTCATTCCATTATTTTATCAATGTGTTTGTAAATGTATGCAACTCAAGATTTCTAAAAGGGATGTCGACAGAACTTCCTAAATTAAGAAAAAGAATATGGAGAATAAGTGCACTGGACAGTAGCAACCTCTCCGGGCTCCTTTAAATTGGCCATAGGAGGTTCAAATCTCAGCCACTTCAGCAGGAACTGGCTGAGATTTGAACTGTGTATGGGCAAGCTGAATCTGATCAACTTGGGTACAACCAGCCTGCTGGATTTTACATGCGGTCATTGTGATGGCTTCCCCCACCACCCCGCTGGGAGAAGACAATGTCAAAACTGTCTGTTTTTTTCCTGCAACCCGTGGAAATTTGACCGTCTATGGCTTGCCTTACAGTAGTGGTTGATAGGCAGTAAAAACATAGTTGAGCTTTCCCCTCCTCTAAACTGCAAAGGCAGCGGACATGATGTACACATGCCTTTGCAAAACTGATCTCCCTAGTTGAGTTTGCCAGGCAGTGCTGCCACAGAACACAACCCATTCAAGGGAATGGGGCTACCCTGCAACCACATGTATGCATGTAAATGTGGCGCAACATTTACAGGGTTAAAACGGGCAAAATGACCAGTCATTGCCTCAATGTCTCTGAAAAACAATTCATGCTTCTCAGAGGTTCGGCAGCGACAGCTCCATGTGTAGCCTTGCATATTTTATTGGCAAAACAATATTTTTTATTAATGCTTTTGAATAAAATGAAAAGCAAAAAACAAACACAAGTCAGAGCAAGAAAGTAAAGCAAAGGAAGATGAACAATATCCCAACACTAGAGTGATGTTTTTCAAGATTATCCTCCATAAATATTATAGATAGCCACATGCAGCCAGATTTTGATCTGTTACAACATGTACAGTAGGATTAGGTCCTACCTGAACAATTAAAGGAGAAGTATGGGAATTACAAACAAAACTGCTATACTCACCTAGATGGCTGCAGCACTGATCCACACTGCATCTGACCCTCACCACCTCTACATCATAGATTGCTGATTGCTCAAGTCCTTGGTCTTCACTGCACAGAGAGCCGGTGACTGTCGGTCACTGGCTCTCTTCTCTGCCCTTCACTGGAGTGCCGGGTTGTGAAGGAAGTGTGAGCGGGTGACTCTGGCTCTAAACCCATCATTGAGAGGCTGAGTCAGCTGCTGGTCCGGGCATCTGGGTGGACAGCGACTTTAAAGTCTGGATCTTTCCAGAGCTGGACCAGCTCAGCAACGTCACTCTTGTGATTCATAGGAGAATTAGGGCCAACTTCTCCTTTTAATTTAATTTGTATCTAGCCTGGTGTATGCCTGCTTTACACATTGACAATGAACATATGGCGCAAACCTAAAGTAAAAAACAACAATGTAACCACTTGACAATAAAATGTGGTAAGTCCATAAAAGTCCAAAAATAACTAAAAGTCCATATTATACACCTAAGGCAGCTCCACCAAGAGACTGGAAAGTATCTCTGCAGAAATGAATAAGAAACAAAAGGTGGTGCCTCTAAGTGCAGTATTAAAAGATAGGGCGATGGTCACACATTTGAGTGTTCCATGTATGGATTATTAAATTATCTTTTAATACTGCACTTAGAGGCACCCTCTTGTGTTTCTTTTTCATTTTTGCTTTACACATTTGTTAATGAAATTTATTGCTCTGAAAGATTAAAGATATGTAATGATGAGCATTAGATTCAGCATCCATTTAAAAAGTGATAAAGAAGCTTTGTACATAATTATAAAAATGTTTTCCCTTGTAGTGGGGCTGTGCCCGCACTGCACGGGTTAACTGCTTGTTTTTTCTAGGGGAGAGGAAAGTGGAGATATACTTATCTACTCCTCCCAGCACAAGACTGGTCCAGCAGCCCTGCGCTCCATCAGTCTTAAATATTGGACTGTTCTTGACATCATCACAACCAGAGCAGGCTACATAGACCAGGAACAGTCCACCGCTGGACCATTGGGGAACGCTGTATTCCGGAGGATCGGGTGAGTATATGCTTTATGCTCACTATTAAACAAAATGAGAAGTTGACCTATGCAATGCAGGCACAGCCCCACTGCATGGGGAAAGAAATCTGCCGGAGTTCAGCTTTAAATTCTATTCTTTTATTTTTGTTTTAGATGGCATAGTGATTTAAACCGCAACTCCTGGAATTACAAAAAACTACCCTTGCATGGCACACCGCTCCCTGCACTGCAAGAGTTAAATGTTTGTTAACTCTAGGAGATGAGGAATAAGATGTAACACTTACTTTACTCTTCACTCTGCCTCTTTACTCTGGATCAGGTTGTGAGAGGATGCCATCTTTACATATAATTCACAGCTATTGGGACTGCATTGTACTTCATGATGCCATTGTTCAACAGCCAATGAGAGTGATTTAACCATTTAACCAACCAGAACAATTTAACTATTGCAGTGATTGGGGTCCTTGCTACAAGGGTATTTCTCTTTTAATTCCAGGAGCTGGGCTTTAAATAATCTTTTTGCAAAGTTAATTTTCACTTTGTTTCACCTTGTTCATTTTGAAAAGTGAACATACTCTAAATCAGCCCCGCTATGTGGCCATAAGTAGTATCTTAGCTTGTCCTTTTTATTTTGTGTATCTTAAAAAATGAACATGATTGCCCAGTCAGGATCACATTTTTTTGTCACAAGGACTCAAATACCTGAAAATGTTACCTTTCTAAAAAAAATTGTTTTTATGTTGTGTTCGTACTAAAAATTTAAACTTTTTGTTTGACTTTTGTAATGCTGAAAGGATAAGCTTGACTGGCAGCTGCAGGTGAAAGGAAGCAATGGGTATTTTTAGCTGCAGTCTAGAAACCTGAGAATCGCATAGTTCCCCTTCATTTCATGAATGGTAATTGGGAAATGTCTAATCAGGGTGTTCTGACATATGTTCCAGTATACTGTAGATGTCTAGAGCTTTTCATTCATATTAAAGAGTATCTCCAGCAAAAAAAAAAAAATTCTTAATAGTTTTGGATAGAATTCGAAGGAATTCAAACCTTTGCTGGTATTTTATTGACTGTTTCCCCAGTCAAGAAGATTTCCCCTTACTTCCTGTCTTGATGAAAGCTTTTTTTTAATTCTTTATCTAAACAAAGACAGGATGGAACACACTGTTACAATCAGCATAGTAAGACAACACCAGCATAGTTAGACAACATATTACAATCAGGTTCCAGAAGGTATGTGATTATTAAAAAAAAAAAACTAATTGGTATATTTGGGATTCAAATGATGGTTTTCTAGTAGCATACAGTGTATGATTTTATGATATATCACTAGTAACATTTGTACTGCGTGGCACTCATTCATTTATATTGTTTATGCTTTATTTGTGGGAAAACAAGCGGTGTGAAAAGCAGAAAAAACATTAGTTATACTCATTTCAGCCCTAAAGAATAGGGACACTGGGATTTTTTGTGTTCCACAATTCTAGATCATTTCACAAAGTTCTTTTACGGTGATTCTCAGGTTCCAGAAGGTGTAATCAATTCTATTCACACATATAAGCAGTTAACAGGTATCCTTTCATTCCCACATTTACACACATAATTTCGACTTTGAGATTTCCAGTTCTGTAGCAACTGTTATTCCTCCCTTAATTTTCCATTTACTAAAGCAGTGTTTTCTATAATTTTTTTAGTCACTGACCCCTTTAGGTATCTGATGAAAACTATGGACCCCCTCACCAGAAATATTCACATAAACACAACTTTGCATGCAATGAATATATGCACTTTATTTGAATGAAATTTGATAGCCTCATACATATAGTTGTGCTCAAAAGTGTGCCTAGAATAGGAAAAAAAGCTTGCATAGGAATAGAATAGAAAATAAATGAAAGAATATAAATAGCTGTCTTCCGAAATTCGAATTTCAAATGGAATTAAATATAATAGAAATGAATAGAATAAAACAGAATAGAATAGAAAGTAAAAGGATAGAATACAAAATAAAGGGTTTTGAATAGAATAGAAAAGAATAGAATTTAATTGAATTGAAAAAATATAGCCACCTTTTGGATTTCGATTTTCAAAATTCAAATTTTGAATACAATATAATAAAATAGAGCATAGCCATCTTCTGAAATTTGAATTTCGAATAGAATAGAATAAATAAGAATAGAAAAGGAAAGAATAGAATGCAACAGAGTAGAATAGATTATAAAAAACAAAACTGAAAAGAATAGAATAGAATAGAAAATAAAATAATAGAATAGAAGAAAAAAAGAATGGAATATATTAGAAAAAAATAGAACAGAATAATAGAATAAAACGAATATAGCCATCTTCTGAAATTCGAATTTTGAATAGAATAGAACCAGCTATTCTTCACAATGAATTTGAATCAATTCAATATTTTCAATTAGAATTCAATTCAAATCCAATGCAAAAAATTTGAATCCGGGTGAAAATGAATAAACAAAACAAATTTAGTTACAAATGCAACGAAATGAAATTAGGAACCTAACGAATTGATCTGAAACTAAACAAAACACATTTTTTAACTCTGCACATGTCTAGGCATTATTTACATGCTAACATCAATGGTATGTTTCGGACAGTGATATCACTGCATGGATCAGGCTTTTGTAGAATGATACTGTATGTCATTCAGACACCGGCATCACGGCTATATCAAGAAAATTAACGCTCAACTCAATTTAAATTTTTTTTTTTTTATTTCTTCGCTTAGGGTCCTAATCCATGGTCCAGCTCAAGACCTTATACCTGAAATTAGGATATGTACTGTATGTTAGAAAATAAAAAACTGGTATGAGAAGGAGTCAGAGGGCAATAAATCTCTCGGCACCCCAATCACAATTGGGTTAAATATTATAATGACATAATATTTTATATAACAAATATACAACCTGCAGTATAAATATACAATACAACGCTACAAATTGTATAAATTGCACAATTCCACCAAAATAAAAATACTCTAAACATCACTGATAAAGCAGTTAATATCCACCTCAACATTTAACCCTTTTGGGGTAAGTAACTCTGTAATAATAAATCCATTTATTCTCTCTTTTAGACAAATTCCTCACCCTGTTGGACCCTCTCCATAATGGAAAAACTCTATCTACTCACCAAAATTTAAGAACCGATGGGTCTCTGTTGTGACATTGCCTAAAGTGGAGCAAAAAACTATGTTGTTTATACCCAATTGATATATTGTGTATACGCTCGGCTATTCTCTTCTTAAGTGGTCTTTTAGTCCTCCCTATATACATCAGCCCACAAGGGCATTGCAATGCATAAACCACATGTGCGGTATTACACATAATTAATTCTGAAATTGTAAACTCCTTATTGTTAACAGTTTATAACTTATAAAGCAGTTAATATCCACCTCAATGATGATAAAGGACATTTTCATTGCCTATTTTATAGTGTGTTCTTTACAAGTAGGTGGAGGTGGTGTGATTTCTTGATAGAGTGAGTGCTACTAGGGTAATCGATGTTGTTCTTGCTTGTTTGTATTTCATTTACACACCCAACATTTTCTTGATCCATTATATGTCACTTAAAAGCTTAACTATGATCACCTTCACCCCAGCTCAGCAGTGTCCTCATCAGCCACTGACATCTTTGACCAGTCTACTTCAGGGTAGTGATCTTTGATTGTTTTCATTGACATGGCCAAGATGACAAGATGCAGAGAGGACCTGTCTATCACAAAGGCCTTACCTGGCTGGAAAGTGTTAGCACTGTCCTGGCTGTGAATTGTACCCTCTGATCTAATAAAGTAAACTGTACAGCCCAAGGATGAGTGCCTACATTTGCAAACAGTTCATTAGGAGGGCATATGGGAGCCTCAGTCATAGCACTGTCACCTATACACTTGTATTGGATCCACCTGGGTAGATCATAGTGAGGTTTTTTCTTAACTCTGCCTATGGCCTTGTTTACATTTGCAATTTGGGATGTGGTAAAAAAAAAAAGCTGCAATTTTTACTGCTCTGCTTTAAATGCAAAAGGCAGCAGGTGAGGGTGTATATACGTCTGTAGAAAAGATCACCGTGACTGGTGGGAGGAATAGGGCCATGCCACAGCAGCCCCATAACCAAGTGCAATGCATGCAGATGCGCCATTATGGTATGGGTTTTTAGGGGTTAAAACAGGTGGTGAGGAGGCAGCATAATGCCTCATCACTGCCTGTGAAATATTCTCTGGGAAGCGATCTTTCACAAATTGCTCTTGGCAATGCATGTATAAATGAGCCCTACATCTCCTATAACTGGGCATCATGGTCAAAGATGTCTACAGGGAAATCTCTGAGGTCTACAGATACCTGAGTGCAGACTGCAGGTTCTGTAAGCCATTTGGGTCAGGACGTATAAACAGTAGACTAGGGATACTTGGAATGATCTTAAATTACACTCTACTCTCCCCCCCTCACACCCCCGATACCAGTGATTCAATTCTACGGAATTTCAAATTCAACTTTTTTTCTTTTAATTCATTTATTTCCAGCTGGAACAGTCCTTGGCTCTGATGATGAATCTCGTCTCATTAAAGACTTGTTTGCCAACTATAACAAAGTTGTTCGTCCGGTCAAGAAGTTTAAGGACTCAGTTGTTGTAACAGTTGGTCTGCAGCTTATCCAGCTTATTGATGTGGTACGATCATTGTAATGATAGAATATGGAATCTCAATTGTAATGAAAGATTATGGGGAAATAGAACTGGTAGAAGCATATCTAAAATACACAGATCAATGGTCTAGAGCCCACCATGTTTCATATAGCAATCTGTAGATGTTCTGCTCAGCCAATTAAATTCCTTTTTATGAAATGTTTGAACATTTTTTGGTCTTTATAAGCTGACTACAGGATCACACATTAAATGACAGAATATAAAAAGCGATAAGGAAGGAAAAGAAACCCTGCTGTATAGATTGTATTGTGAACACACAACTGTTTAATACAGCAATAGGTTGTGCCCCACTGACTTCATAGGCCCAGAAACAATTGCACCCACTGCAGTTTCTGCTACTAAATTATAAAATCAGAGGGACATTTACAGTCACTAAGAATTGTTCATTCTGTGAAACTGCATGTACATTTGTTATGTGTGAATGGAGTCAAATTGAATTACTAGCCTATTTTCTCTCAAGGTTGAATGGTATTCATTTGTATATAACTGAGTGAATAAGGAAAATACTGCATTATGACCACTAGATGGAGCTGAGGAAATAAACAATTGTTTACAGGCTCCACCTAGTGGCCAAAATGTGGTATTTTCCTCATTCCCTCTATTCTGTATTAATGTATTAATGAATAACGCTTAACCTGGTGAAAAAAAATAGCCTAATAACATTTGATTTTGCCCCCGTTCTCACAGAACAAATGTACCTGCAGTTTCACAGGATGAATAGCTTATATCCCTCAAAGTGGACCTAGCAGCAATCTCATTTCATGCTAAATGTGCACATACTAAATAATAAGTAAGCATAACACTTATGGAACTGTTTGCGTAATACAGAGATTACAGTACTCCCCTATCAATACCTTAATTTTCTTTCTCAAAAGGTCAGATTCATCTTTGTTCTAGAATTATCCAGTGTTAGCATTAACTTCCTGGGTCAGAGATGATCCAGTCATAGCCGGTATATACTGGTACCTGTGCAGTTCAAAGCTGTGTTCACTAATACATGACACAGATCTGTCCCTCTCACCTTGTGATTTGCTTCAAAGTTACAATGTTGCAGGAAAAACACTTGATAAGAGAAGACTAAGCAAATTCCTCCTCCTTTCTGCAGCAGACAGATGGCATCTTCACAGCCATAGTCATTAGACTGATGCTCAGTTACATTTCTCCAAGGATAAAAAGTACAGATTTTTTTTAAAATATACTATTGTTGTATATTGTGTCATATCAGGAGTGTGTATATATAGACTAGTGATTAACCCCTTCCTACATCGGTGGTCATGGCAGTGAAAGTGGCATTACATCCTTTTCATTAAACCTACATGTCTTTTCTTCTTTTTTGAAGGATGAAGTCAATCAAATTGTGACAACTAATGTACGACTTAAGCAGGTTTGTAACTTGTAATTGTCTTTTTCTGTTCAGAGGTTTTTTTTGTTGGGTTTACGGTACAAGACCAATGGTGCAATCATATTATAATACAATGAGAACATGTGATTATCATTATAAGAGTGTAGTGGAAAGACATTACATGAGAACCAGAGAGATGCTAATAATAACACTTCGGCAGGGCTTCATCACATGTGTGGCTATCAATGGAGCCCTTTTCAGAAGGAATTTGACAGGCAATTGTGAGGAGAAAATGCCAACATGGCGATAAAAGATGAAAATGCTGACACAGTTGCAGACCAGTTGCACCACAGCTCAATTCACTTGAATTGGTCACAGTCAGCAGAGGTACTGCTCTCCAAATGAGACATACCTTTTCATTTTTGCTGAAGCATGTATACAGCCCTGAGCAGCTGCATCTCCAAGTTCAAGTGGCCAGTTGGGGGGTGGTAAAACCAAGGCTCAACCGCCCATGTAAATGAGCCCCCCTGAGAGCGAACTCATCTGTACCAAAAGTGATATTTTAGTTATAGTTGGAGCCTGACAAATGCATTTTTCTTTAAGGTGCATTAAACATGCCTTTGACATCTGTTTGAGATGCTTTTGAGATCAATCAGATTTCATTGACAGATACAGATGATCTGTAGATGACCTTCCCTTGATCTGTATTTGACACCCTTCAAAGCTGCATCAACTTGCTTCAATCTGCTTTAGCATTCTCATTGACTTAAAAGGGGAAATAAGTTATTCTGGCATGAACAAAAAGCCCATGAACACAAACCCTTACTAAGTTTCAGTTCATGCGTCACAAGCCTAACAACATATGTATTGGGATCTGGCTCTTGTTCACCACAGATCAATGAGAACACTAAATCAACTTGAAGCAGAACTTAGAAGAAGGTCAAATGCAAACCAGAAAGTGAATTCAGAAGCATCTAAAACTAAAATGCAAGTTAAGAGCTCTTGAAAGAATGTTGCATTTGCCAATTGACATTAGCTCTAAAGGCCATCAGTCCATCTGTGTAGAGACCTAAATGTTTTTTCTTCTTCTTCAGCAATGGGTAGATGTTAATCTCAAGTGGGACCCTGCAGAATATGGAGGGATAGAAAAAGTTCGGATCCTTTCCGGTGATATCTGGCGCGCCGATTTAGTTCTGTATAACAAGTAAGATATTTTATTCCTTTCTTGTGGTTACATTAGCACATACAAATAGTGGGGGGAAATTAGAGGCAAGACATACATTGTAGAGGTTGACAAGAAATGTTAATTCGTCTTCTCAGTCCTGTACAAACTGGTGACTACACTAATCTATACGAGAATATATATTGGTAACTAACTATACAGTAGTTAATAAACTGAGAACACAGGGATGCCTCTTTATAGTATGTTCAAAGTATACCTGCCATCAGAGATATACAAGGATTACTATTGTTGATGTCCTTTTAAATATGCTAGTTGTCTAACTGTTATGTTGATCTTCTGGATACAGGACTATCTGATTTCTTAAGAATGGTGAGGTATACTTTTTGTATTGTATGTATTTTTATGTATGTTTTAAGAATGGTGATGGTTAGAACCACTGTAAGGGGTTCCATTCCTGACTTATGTCCCCTTTGAGGAGATTAACCTTCTATATTGGGGGGACTGGAGACCATTGTCATCAGCACGGAGAGTGATGAAAAACCCACATTTTTCAGTCATGGGAACAGGAGATGTAAGGAAATTTTTCAATGGGTAAACCTGTACTGGTGACAACTGTATGAGACGGATGATCCTTCACTTTGCAGAGATCTCCTCTCACTTAGTACTGTGTTTCTGGGACAGGAAGCAAAGAGAAATTTCCCAAATGGAGCTTCATCCAAAGCTAAAAGATGGCTTTATATGCACTTTAACCTGGACCAGTTAGCTAGGTAAACTCCTCTTCTGAAATATAATCAGAATATTATTCCAGCTTTATAATTTGCATAGCCATTCAGAATATTATAATAAACATTGTGAAAACATTGCATATAAACATATTAAGTAGATATTATCTTATTTGCATGGTTTGGTTGTTTACAGCGCAGATGGTGACTTTGCCATAGTCCAGGAAACCAAGGCCCTTCTGGATTATACTGGGAAAATTGTATGGACTCCACCAGCTATTTTCAAAAGCTACTGTGAAATGATAGTTACTTATTTCCCATTTGACCAGCAGAACTGCAGCATGAAGCTTGGAACATGGACCTATGATGGCAATTTGGTGGTAATAAACCCGGTAAGAAGTGTATTTGTTATAAATATTAAATAGAATCTGTCAGTTGAGATGTTATTTGAAATTCTCCTTTATGGCTTCAAAAAACTACTTTTAGGCCTTAATGGGTACTTTATCAGCCAAATACTGTATGATATACCTTAAGATCATTGGTGCCAATCCCTAGGCATTTGGTTAGGGGATCTCTCTTGAATGGAAGGATAGGGTTTCAGATTAGATTATCCTGTCCTTCAACAAAAATCATATGGCTATGCCAAGACTTAGGGGCATGAGAAAAGCACTGAAGGGACCCCATTACAGAAGAAGCAGCATTTTCTCAAAGGTAGGTTAGTATTTAAATTAACAAAACTGTTCACATTGTGTTACATTTGGATTGGTGTCTAGGTGCAACTAACATTCCTGAGCCTCTGGTATTTATTGGTCTTTATTCAGCAGCTTAAATCTCTGCAGTGCTCACCTACTCTAATCAGGGAAGTTCCTAAATAGACTGCTGAACATGAAGCCCATGTCTGATTATTGTTTTATCTGGCTCATGCCTTAAATTACTTATTTTTTTTTGCCTGTTCGTGACTTGGATTATTTCTGTTTAAGATATGGTTTTATATGCTTGTTTTGACCATTAGCCTACTGTCACTGTTGCTTGCTCCTACCATCTGTGTGCAGATTTCACTGTAATGTTGTTCCTGACTGTTAAGCAGCTGTCACCCCTCTAGCATAGCACTGTTCCCTGCAGCATTCTTCTGTGAGCTCACGAAAGCATTATTGACCTACCCCCCAGGAGGCAGGTTCTTGAAGCCATGGACTTACAGGAAATGTGTTGAATGATGAGAGAGATCATTCGACCTGGTAAAAAGTGACAAGTGCTAAATCACAGAGTATTGAGTCTGTGGGAGATAGCAGAAGAAATAGAATGAGTATTACAGTCATAGTTTCTTTTATTTTAATGTATGTAGGGCAGTGGATCTATACAATCTTGTTTTAACTGGAGTTGGGGTTTAGGCTGGCATTGAAAACCAAATGTGTACACTTTCTGCAGCTCAGGAGGGTTATTCCTTAAATTGTCAGCTTCAATATAAAGCAATAAACCTGAAACTATGACCATGATATTTTTCCACATTTTATGATGTGAAAATAAAATGTACCCCTTGATGGTCCACAAAGTTTTTCCAGCAGTGCTAAAAAACTTTTATTCCCTCTAGTGAAATGACTAGTCATAATAGATTTTCAGAGTATCAATAATTTTTTCATGTATTCTCAGATTCACACCAGACAAGCATTTTTGGAAGAGATACGTATGGGTGGTGCTGCTAAATTGCTTGGGGTGTAATCAAACACCCCTTTTGCTCAATTTTTCTGGTCTTTATCTGTTAAATTATGTCACAGCTACTCTTTTATAGTTTGCTTTAGAGATAGTTTGTCCACTTAACATTTTTGAAAATATTTATTTCAGGAGAGTGACCGCCCTGATATGAGCAGCTTCATGGAGAGTGGAGAATGGTTAATGAAGGATTATCAGTGCTGGAAGCATTGGGTTGTCTATGACTGCTGTCCTGACACACCATACTTGGATATCACTTATCATTTCCTCATGCAGCGACTTCCCCTCTACTTCATTGTTAATGTTATCATACCCTGTCTCCTCTTCTCCTTCCTCACTGGTTTGGTGTTCTATCTGCCCACAGGTTCAGGTATGTATTCTAAAATTAAGTGATTTTCATAATCTCTCAGCAATGCTGGTTGTATACTCACTATCACTTTAAGTGACCAACATCTGCATGTCTTGAATGCAAGTGAATATAAAACTAAGACTGCCCATAACCATCCAGATCATGTACTCCAATCTCTATGATTTCGGAGTTTGGCACCTGTGTTGAAATTCTGCTTAAGCCAGCCATAGATGGTTTGAATATAGCCACTAGCAATATTCACTGTGTTCACTGGGCAGGGACGACTTTCTCCCCACTGGGAAAATACAATAATTCCATGGGAGGGATTTTCCCTCAACACTGACTGTGCTGATGAGAGAACCGAGCTATTTTCTTTCCTGCAACTTATGGTTGGAGGAAAGAAAATTGCATCATCTATGGCCTGCCTAAGTCATTAAACATAGTGGGTAGGGTAGCCACAAGCTTTAGAAGTTACCATTTTCTGTTGAAATTGCCAGGAAGAGGGAGTGCTTTTTTTTATTTTTCTTAGTAGTAAATTTTTTTAATGCATTAATACAATGTATTTTAATAATACATTAAACCAATGGTGAGTATTAATACTCACCATTATGTGGTACTACTATCCACATCATACGAATAGTAGCATTACAGAAATTTACAGGGGTTGGACAAAACTATGGAAACACCAGGTAAAACGAAATTGTTACTTAATATGGTGTTGGACCGCCTTTGTCATCCAAGACTGCCTTAATTCTCCTGGGAATTGACAAATATAGTTCTTGGATTGTGGATAATGGAATCTGATACCACTCTTCATGCAACAATTGTTTCAGTTCTCGTAGAGATGCCAGAAGAGGAAAATAAGCCTGAACCTTGTTCTCTAAAATTGACCATAGTGGCTCTATGATATTGAGGTCCGGCGACTGTAATGCCCAGGAAAGGTGCAAGACCTTGCCTGCATGCTCATGAAACCACAAGATGACATCATCAGCTATGTGAATCAGAGCATTATCATCTTGGTAAATGGCGCTGTCTTCGAGAAACAGTGTCTGCACCATGGGGTGCACATTGTCAGCCAGAATTTGTACATAGTCCTTGGCAGTGACTTTACTTTTCAAGGTGATGATGGGACCTGCAGAGTACCAAGTTCCATTGATTGATAGTCCACAATTCCTGGGTGCTGCACCACACTCTCCTCCTCTGAGCATTAATATCAGTCACTAGTGGTTTGGCAATTGCAGCTTGCCCAAGAATGCTATGCTTATGGAGTGTCCTCTGCACAGTTTTTGTAGGCACAGGCTTTGGAAGACTAAAATTCAGATCTGCAGTCACTTTTGCAGCAGTTGTTCTCTTATTCCAGGTCACAGTCCAGCGCTATGTCCTTTTGTCTCTTTAGGTCAGTTGACCATGTTGATTGCGCTTATGCTTATCAGACATTTTCATGAAAACTGTAAATGTCATAACCTTTGATACTCTACCTTGTGACGCTGCAAATAAATTGGCAACTTCAGTCACAGAGGCGCCAGCTAAGTGGGCACCAACAATTTGCCGTCTTTGAAGCTCAGTAAGCTCTGACATGACTCCATGTTACTAGCAGCGCACACAGTGAATGATGAAAGTAAGGCTTTCCACCTGTTAGCTAGGTGTCTCATCAGACAACGAAAGCAAAAGAATGTTACAAAAAACATGCTGTCACTTTCACACCTGCAAATCATGTGGTGTTTTCATATTTTTATTCAACCCCTGTATGTTTAACAGTGAAATATGAGGGTAGGGTTCGCACATTTAAGTAAAGAGTATGGTAAACATATAATAAAATCTTACAAAAAGGCTTCAGAATAGTGTTCAGTTGTGAAGGTATTCTTAGTACACAGTGGACAATGACAAAGGGAAAAACAGCTTTCTCACTTCTAAATGCATCCTATATGGTCTAACAAAATCCATACGACAGAAAAATCAGTAGTAAGAATGGTGTGATCAATATGATTAGGTTATAGAGGATGTGGAAGTTGCTAACAAGCCAGTCCCTCAAATCTTGTTAATTTTAGCAGAGCAACCTCTAGTATCATATGCTGGGAGGGTAGTGGTAACTGGTTTATACCTTTTTGGAAGTATGACGGCTTCAAATTTTTCATAAAGGTGTACATAATTCCCAATTTTCTCTTTTAGGTGAAAAGATAACTCTAAGCGTCTCTGTTTTGCTGTCACTGACTGTGTTTCTTTTGGTCATCGTTGAACTGATCCCATCCACCTCTAGTGCCGTGCCACTGATCGGAAAGTACATGTTATTTACAATGATGTTTGTCATAGCTTCCATTGTTATCACTGTCATTGTGATCAACACTCATTTCCGCACCCCAAATACTCACATCATGCCTCAGTGGGTAAAAAAGGTACTACAGTTGATTGTGTCTTGTATCAGAATTACCAATAGAATTTTTTCGTGTTTTGGAATGTTATTAATAGTTTTTAAAATCACAGGATGGATGTGAACAAAGACACATACAATACACATCTTACAGTAGAAAAGTGCAATGGACAAAAAAAACTTCAGTGTCAGGTATGACAAAGATGCAGCTTATACAGTATCTGTATAAAAGAGGAGAGTACAAACACACATTGCTCACTTGCATTCCAAGTCTAATATGTTAAACAGAAATGGATCACATTGTGCAGATAGTTGCTTTCTTTATTTTGGCAGTGCAGGCCACATGGGAAAGAGCATCAGTTTGTAATAGAGTTACCATTACTAGCTTATACTGTAGTACACTAAACAGTGACTATCAAAACAAACACAAAACAAAGCTAGCATAAACATAGTGTGACTAACCTGTATTAAAGCGGAGAGCACCAAAAAAAAAAGTTAATCTCAGGGTTAACCTTAGCTAAATAAAACTGTCAGGTCCTATATGTTATCAGCAACACTGGAATGGACCTGGTTTCCTATGGTACATTGGTTTGTCTGCGAACATTAGATGTCTTATGTAAAAGTAGCATCTAGCCAGGATAGTCACCTCCAGTATTTGCTGTAAATTTAGTGATATCCAGGCTGCGTTAAAATTACAATCTGTACTTCCTATCAAACTTTGCAAATCAAAGGGAAATCAGGTAAATCCATCCATCAGAAAGTTTTCACCCAAATTGTTTTTAAAAATGTAAAGAGTTGAATGATGTAAAATTAAACCTCTTTTACTATATTAATTTCAAGAAGATTATTGGCCTAATACTTCCAAATTACATGGAAAGTTTCTTTTTATTTAATTTAATGTCATCATTTGGTATTCATGATATAACCATTGTAAAGCACAAACCATGCAACATTTACAGTATATATTGTTTAAACTAAAGATATCTTTTCTTTTCATTAGATTTTTATTGAAACTATTCCAAGTATGATGTTTTTCTCTACTATGAAACGTCCTGCACAAGAGAAAAAAGGAAAGAAGATATTTACAGAAGACATTGATATATCAGATATTTCTGGAAAACTGGGTCCTGCCAATGCGACATACCAGTCTCCGATCTTAAAGAATCCTGATGTCAAAAATGCAATTGAAGGAGTCAAGTATATTGCAGAGTCTATGAATTCTGACCAGGAGTCAAATAAGGTAAAAGAAAGAAAAGTTAAATTTTGCCACAGTTACACAGAAATAGAACAGAGGCTAAAGCTGGCCAAACATGGTTCAATTTTTTTTCCGTTCACCCAGTGGGTTGAACTGCACTATTGCATTATGACAGCAAGGAGACCCCCCGCTGTTAGAATACACAGGTCAGCACTGTTGGCTGCAGCCACTGATCCGAGCAGCTTGGATCCAGCAGGTGAACAGAAGCTGATCAGTAGATCAACCTCTGTTCAACTGCAGTAGACACAGATGGATCGAAATTTGGTTAGTCCCTGTAGAACCGTCTGAAATTCTATTTGTCATGTCCACCTTAAGGCTCAATAAATGAACTGACGAGGGCCAGAAGGCTAATTTGTTATAGGTGTCATCTATGAGATCATTAGTATTAAAGCTTTCTTTTGGAAGATAAAAGCATATCAAGTAAGTGTATACTACATAGCTGGAATGCATTTACTACACTCCCCTGCCTCTAGCCTAAACAAGGAGAAAAACAATTATACTCCACTTTTATAGGTCCCACAGTTTGATGGATTGTCCCTCATTTGAAACCTCTTTCCTCCTCAGTTTTCTCTTTTTAGGTTTGATATATAAGCTTCTATTAAAATGTTCTGTTTACCAAATCTGTTTTACAGCACTAAACCATTTATGTGTAAAGTTCTACTTGAGCTCCTAAGCTCTGTAAACAACAGTCATTTTGCAACAAAGCTGCTAAGAATAGCTTGAAAACACAGGTGAAAAGAGCTCCACCTGTTGGCTGGAATTTGAAATAATATTTTTTTAGTCCTTGACATAGTAGTGATTTGTGAGTCATGTGCACATCTTTAAACACATGTTCACACTGCTGAATCTCACTGTGTTTCCTTGAACCAGATGACCGGTGAACTATGGTCTCATTTCAATATCTCCATATTTGAAGAAAAGACTGCTACCCACTTGTACAGAGATTTTCCATTCAAATATTTGTGTGTAATGACTGCTTCTCCATTATAAATGTTTCAGTTCTGCATACTGCAGTCCTTAAATTGATCTTTTTTAATACCATTTGTTTCATTATTTTTTCCAGGCTGCAGAAGAATGGATATTTTCTGCAATGGTTCTAGATCACATCCTTCTTGCAGTCTTCATGCTTGTGTGCATTATTGGAACAGCAGCAGTGTTTGCTGGACGTCTCTTATTGAACTACATTTGCAAGGCTGAAAAAAGCTAGCTGGGTGCATTGTCTTCCAACTGGCACATGGATGAAGATGGCCTGCATTCAAATCAGCTTAAAGTGACTGTCGCATAACAAAATCTTCTAAGAAACACTGTGCCTATAAAAAACAATGCAAATACTTATCCCTTTTGGTGCCACCAAAGATAAATCACTGGCACTTCCAGGAATGTCAATCTCCATGGTCCTCCCATCATTCTGTGGTTCCTCCCACTAACCCTAATGTCACTACTGTGTCCTGAATGTTGAAGTTAGCAGGAGAAACCACTTGGTGCAGCAGTATGGTTGGCACCATACCTCCCAACTTTCTGGGATGGGAACAAGGGACACCTATTAGCAACAGAATGTAGCCATAGCACACGCCCCCTGCCACGTCCCCTTTAAAAGAGAGTTACACAAAAAAATTGTTGGTTAAACCCACAAGTAGTTTTTTGACCACTACTTTTCCTTTATATTGGCTTTGGAAATAGACAAATGCAGAAATTTAGAAATTATAGGTAAATAGTGCATTTTATATACAAGTACACTGCTCAAAAAAATTAAAGGAACACTTTTTAATCAGAGTATAGCATCAAGTCAGTTAAACTCCTGGGGATATTGATCTGGTCAGTTAAGTAGCAGAGGGGGATGTTAATCAGTTTCAGCCACATTGGTGTTAATTAAATTAACAACATGTGCACTAGATGGGCAACCATGAGACGACCCCCAAAACAGGAATGGTTTTACAGGTGGAGGCCACTGACATTTTTTCCCCTACTCATCTTTTCTGACTGTTTTTCACTAGTTTTGCATTTGGCTAGGGTCAGTGTCACTACTGGTAGCATGAGGCGATATCTGGACCCTACAGAGGTTGCACAGGCAGTCCAACTCCTCCACGATGGCACATCAATATGTGCCATTGCTGGAAAGTTTGCTGTGTCTCAAGAGCATGGAGGAGATTCCAGGAGACTGCCAGTTATTCTAGGAGAGCTGGACAGGGCCGTAGAAGGTCCTTAACCCATCAGCAGGACCAGTATCTGTTCCTTCGTGCAAGGAGGAACAGGATGAGCACTGCTAGAGCCCTACAAAATCACCTCCAGCAGGCCACTGGTGTGAATGTCTCTAAACAAACAATCAGAAGCAGACTTTATGAGGGTGGCCTGAGGGCCCCACGGCCTCTAGTGGGTCCTGTGCTCACTGCCCGGCACCATAGAGCTTGATTGGCATTTGCCGTTGAATACCACAATTGGCAGGTCCGCTACTGGCGCCCTGTGCTTTTCACAGATGAGAGCAGGTTCACCCTGAGCACATGTGACAGACGTGAAAGGGTCTGGAGAAGCCATGGAGAATGTTATGCTGCCTGTAACATCGTTTAGCATAACCATTTTGGCGGGGGGTCAGTACTGGTCTGGGGAGGCATATCCATGGATGGACGCACAGACCTGTACAGGCTAGACAATGGCACCCTGACTGTCATTAGGTATAATGATGAAATCTTTGGACCCATTGGACCCCTACACTGGTGCATTGGGTCCTGGGTTCCTCCTGGTACACAAAAATGCCTGGCCTCATGTGTACGAGGATGAAGGAATTGATACCATTGAATGGTCCACACACTTGCCTGACCTAAATCCAATAGAACACCTCTGGGATATCATGTTTTGGTCCATCCGACCACGCCAGGTTGCACCTCAGACTGTGACAACCAATGTTGTCAGACATGCATACAAGCAAGTGGGGGCCATACAAACTACTGAGTACCGTTTTGAGTTGCTGCAATAAAATTTCAGTAAAATGGACCAGCCTGCTGCATCATTTTTTCTTTGATTTTCAGAGTGTCTTTGAATTCAGTCCTCTGTAAGCTGATAATTTTCATTTCCATCAAACGATGGGGCATCCTTACGTTCCTAACACATTACCCAGTCCATATCAGTATAGATGTCCAGCATGAGATTTTTACCCATTGAGATCTGATGTGTTCCTTATTTTTTTGAGCAGTGTATATAGATCAGACCAAAATGAAGGACAAATGAGGAGGAAAGAGGGACAGAGGGACTTTGCTTCAAATGAAGGACAGTTCCTTGAAATCAGGGACAGTTGTGAGCTATGGTTGCCACTTCCAGAAATGTTGCTTTCAGATGAAGCTTCATCCCAGGTCTTCTCTTCAGCAGTGTTCAGTGGCAGGAGAGGTAAGTATACAGTACGTGTTCTTCTTTATGGGCACTGCGTTTCTTGGAAGTTTAAGTTATGTTGCAGGATCACTTTATAACAAGCTTTTGTATCTACAGACTAAGTAATATTGATTAATTTGTAAATAGTTCTATAATTAATGTGTTAAAAGAAAAGTGGAGAAATAAAATAATTATTCATAATCAGTTCCATTACAGTGTGATTAATGTAATAACTTGCATTAAAAAAAGAAAACTCATTGATCGTTCTTTTGATTTATATGCAAAGCATATAAAATGGCTTTTTTATAAATAAAAGTAACAGTTTCATTAAAGTGTCAGTATTACCTTAAAGTGGTTGTAAACCCTTACAAATGCCAAGTGAAGTGACAAGCCTTATGTGATACACAGAGATGAAACAAATTCTCCTATATATGTTATACCTGTTTATCTGCAGCCCTCTCTAAGCTACAACCATTCAAGTACACAGATCAAAGGCTATTTCTCAGCTCCAGGAGGCAGGTGGTGGGGATATGACTTCACACAATGCACGGCATAGAGCAGGGAGTTGAGTGTAATCTGAGACCTTAGTGGAGGGAATGGACACATCCCCTTTACACCGTCTCATAGGGAAATATGCACAGCCGAGGCTGTCAATCACCTTCTGTGTGCTTTGGCAGGGCTGTTCACTGGGATTCTGTGGTGTAAGAATAACCTATACGAAGTTCCTCATGCAGATAGCAGAGAAAAGAGACAGCAGACAGAAATCTTACTATGTACGTTGGATTGAGGTAAGTGCACACTATCAAAAGATGTGCTTTGTTCATTTTTCATTTCATTTTAAAGCTAGTCTCCAACCAAATTGTTCTTTTTTTTTTTTTTGGATAGAGCAGGGAAGGGTTAGAGCCTCTGTCAGGTTTTTACAGCCCTCTGTGTCCCTCTTGGGAATATTTCACATCACTTCCCGTCAAGACAAAAACATATTTTTGGTAAAGTGTAGAACTTCAGAAAGTTTATTGCTATTCCTGCCTTCCTATTTCAGTGACAACTGCACGTCCCCCTCCATTTTTTTGTATTGTGTGTCACAGGGACAGGAAGTGAGGGAATTAGGTTAAAAAGCTACATTAACAGCTTAGCTGGAATTGAAAAATAAATAAGGAGATGGACTGTAATGCTTTCCTTTCTTGGAGAATATTCTACTGCAAGGGTGGTCACGCAGCTGTCACTGAGGTATACACATGTAGACAGAAAGTATTTGCAAACATGAGTACTGCAATTAGGTGCACAAAAGGAAAAAAAAGTTAAAACAGTATTTTATTCTTAACGAGGCGCCCTTGGAATTTTTTACCCCCTTCATGACCAGGCCATTTTTTTGTGATACAGTGCTGCGTTACTTAAACTGACAATTACATGGTCATGCAACACTGTGCCTAAATTAAATTTATGTCATTTTTCCCTCCCAATTAGAGCCTTTTTTTGGTGGTATTTGATCACCTCTGTGTTTTTTTTGTGCTATAAAAAAAAAGACCAGCATTTTTGAAAAAAACACAAAATGTTTTACTTTTTGCTATAAAACATATCCAATAAAATAAATTAATAAATACAATGTCTTCATAAATATAGGTCAAAATGTATTCTGCTACATGTCTTTGGTAAAAAAAATCCCAATAAGTGTGTATTAATTGGTTTACGTGTAAGTTATACCGTTTACAAATGTTGGTTTATATACTGGAATTTTTTTTTATACTAGTAATGGCAGTTATCAGCAAGTTATAGTGGGACTGCGGGACTGCGGCGGGCATTCTGACACTGGGAGGGAACTAAGTAGCTGCCACTTACATCTCCAATGACACTAATACAGTGATCAGTGCTAATAAAAAGCACTGACACTGTACTAATGACACTGGGCAGGAAGGGATTAACCATTTAAGGTCTGTCCTATAGCAGATATAGTGCTACAGGGTGGCCGTGCTGTGCTGTGCAAAATCGTATAAATACGTGATTTTGCATTTCATACGCCGCCTACCTTATTAGCTCCCAGAGATGTCAATCATCGGATCCCGGCCAGCAATTCATGGCTGGGACTCAGTGATTATCAGAGAAGTTGACAGGGGAGAGATCTGTGTGTAAACAACACAGGCCTCTCTTCTGTCAGCAGGGGCGTGCTGCTTTGTATCTCTCTACAAAGCAAAAACAGCACACAGTAAGCACAAAACAACACACTTTGATTGCCCCAAATGTTAAAGATAACATAAAACTGTTTATAATACACATTCCTTAAGAAACCGAAATGTTATTTAGTTAGGGGTTGCACTTTAAAATGTATTTCCACTTTTGCAGCCATATTGGGATAGCACTTGCTTTATATTTGTTACATGTCCCCATTCACATAGCAACACTTTTAAAATATTTAAAAATTGCTGCTTACCTTTTTACTCGCTTCTACATTTTAATCCTAAAGTGAATTTTCCTGTGGAATGTGTAGGGAAAGAGACACTGTGAGGTTATTCAAATATGTTTGCAATCTGCCATGAGGCTTTTCCCCCAGAAAAATCTAAAATGTAAGAAATTTAAAAAAAATGTGAGTATGCTCTGTGAATGGAAAAACTTAACAAACTAATAGTGAGATTTTCTCAAATTTGACTGCAAAAGTGGAAATACACTTTAAAGCTGAAGTTTAACCATATTGTTTGTCTTCCCTGGTTCCTCCCTTGACCCTTTCATCAACATGCCAATGAATTAAATAAATAAAACATCTGTATAGATTACATACCTTATTTGACACCCAATTAGGTTATCACTGGGTATCTGTGTTTTCCTATGCAATGCAAAAAAAATCATAGCTGGTAG